CGATCCATGATTCTCTCATCTTTGGTGTTTCGCTCTCTCTCTCCCTCTCTCTTCCTCTCTGAAATCAATAAAAAATTTTTTTAAAAGAAATAATTTATATGTATTTAATAAAAAACAGGTATTTACATGGTAGTTAATGCATAGATTCCTTTTTTTCAAAGACTGGCCCGTGGTCTCCAGCCCCCGAGGTTGCTCCGGCAGGAGCTGGGGCTGCTGGGCCTGGGCCAGGTGTGTCCAGTTCGCGCTGGCCGCGCTCAGCACAGGTGAGTCACTTGGTCTTAATCCAGGTGGTGCTGGAACGGCGGCCTGGTGCGCGGAAAGCTCCCTCCCAGGGCCGAATCCTAGAGAGCGCTGCTTAGGGAGAATGACCGGTAGGAAAAGGGATGTCCTGGCAACAGGGTGTGTTCCCTTTGGGTTTATCGCTACGTTTCTAACCTGTTTCCAAAGGGAATTAGGCCTGGGTTTGGGGTGGGATGGGGTAAGGGTGAAGGTGAAAGGAACAGTAAGTACATTTGGAAAAATTGTTTACATTTGGGTGTGACTCCCACTCCGTCTTTTTAAAACTGGTGGCAATTTTGTGTTCCTTTTATAAGTAGGAAAAAAACGTTAAAAGCGAGGAAAGACCCACTCTGGGGAAGGCTTTTGATGGGGCCGGAGGGCTCCGTATCGGTTGTTGACTGCGCACTGACGTGGACCGCTAATCTGGTGCTTAGCATCAGCTGCCTCGCTGGCCTCTGCCTCTAGGTCGCTGCCCCTGCTTCCTGGTTTTGTTGTTGGGGCAGCCCTTCCCCAGCGCGTACTGGGTGGGGTCGGAGCAGTTGCTCCCAGGATGTTGCTATAAAACTGTCTGTTGAGAATCTCAAGCTTTTTTTAATGGAATTATTTCATTTTTAAGTGGCTAAACATTTATATAGTGCTTCATCGTTTACAAAGCATTTTATTTGCATTTTTAGTCTGAGTCTCACAACAACACAGTGAAGGTAAGTTTCGTATTGTTAATCTGGTATCTGTTAGTGACGGAAAGCTCAGAGAGGTTAAGAGACTTGCCAGAGATCACACAGCCCCATTTGAGGCAGAGCCCAAACCTGTGAGTTCCTTGTGGGGTAGCTCATGATGTGGTTATCGTGTTTACAAGCCTGTTACAAACCAAATCATCTCATCGGGCTTTCTACAGCCTAGAGTGGATTTCATCATCTTTTTTATAGGCTCATTAGGAAGACGCCAGTGTCACATAGGGTGAGTGGCACGACATCACTCCAATGTCTCTTTGCTCTCTGCTTCCAAGTGTTGCCCCAAAGTTTGTGCACATGATAAGCAGGGCGGTGTGTGTGTGTGTGTGTGTGTCTGTGTGTAGTGGTCTCACCGGAAATAAAGAAAAATGTTACATTATTATTTGCCCCAAGGCAACACTCATTTCACAGCTCAGTTCAGAGAACTGGCAAATTCCTAATCTCAGGCGTAAAAACGAGGGAATAAAGCCTCAAATAAGTGCAGTGCCCACCCCGCTCCATTCCAGGTCCATCTGCTCTGTGCCCTCTGTCCCCACATGGCTGGGCCTTCCTCCCTGACACTCCTTGGGACCCGGAGGCTCATCCTGACCCCCGATGCCAGTCTTCAGCCCCGTTTGGAACTCTCGAAACACCTATGAGCCTGCCTCTTTCCAGTTCTTTCCGGGAGAGAGACCTTGGTTGACTTTAGGGGGTGGGCGGGCAGATTTCAGATCGGCATGAGTGGTCAACACTCTTGGCCCCTCACTTCATGACAGAGATAAACTCCCACTCCCTGGGGGTGCTGTCTGCCACCTGGAGCTGGTCCTGGGCATAGAGAAAAGATGGCACGCGGCTCTGAGGGACTACATCTGAGAAGGGCTGGGGGCCGGTGGGGGCAGCAGGCAGGGAGATGCAAGGATGCTGAAGACTTCCCCTTCCTCTCCTGCTGCTGGCCTGCTCTGCCTGGCTGCGGAGATGTGTCCACTTCCAGCCAGGCTCTCCAGGTAGCATCTGTCACCCATACTCCCAGGCGTTAGCATGTCACACCTGGACACCTGCTCTCCGCACGCCTGCCCAGGGCAGCAGCCTGGGGGAGGGCAGGGAGGAGATCGAGGGGGTCTGTGCACATTCCATGCAGCAAAGGTGACTTGCCCTGGCGTGTTGAGAGGGATGCCCTCTGCGTTCCCGCCTTGACCAAGCCCCCTCGGCGCTTTGATTTCCTCCAGTGTCCTGTCCCCCGTCACCTCCTAACACCTGCTAACTTGTCAAGAAGCATAAAGCAATTCCCAGAGATGAGATTAAAGGAGGAAATGGGGTTTCTAATCACCCCCCCCCCAATTCCTAGTTGTATTTAAAAAAGAATGATGAGCATCAGACAGATGATGAAAAGCAACTCACCCCTGCTCCACCTGTGGGCCACAGTGGCCTGAGCATCGTAACACAGCAGCAGCAGCAGCAGCGTCTTCCAGCACATCTTCTCCTCCACGCAGGTGAGGAGTCGCCTCAACCCCAGCGGGACCCCAGGAGCTACAGGTGTGGCCGTCCCGGTCCTCCTGGGAGACGGTGCAGTTCTTCCCACCTTTCCCTTTTCCAAAGAGCGATGCCCTCTCCTGCCTCGAAAGGTGGAGGCAGAGGCTGCCTCCTGGGGGCACGGGCAGGGACCTGTCTATCCGACTCTCTCTGGGATTGGGGGACTGGGCGGCCACAGAGAGACTGTTTTTGAGCACATCTGGAGTGACTCACGGGGCATGTGATCTCCTTGGCAGTGGGCTGGATAAATATAAATCTGTACTTGAGTTCCATGTGTTGGATGCACCCACTGGAATTTTTCTTTAACAAACAGACTCGTGGAACTTGTTAGAGAGCCCGGCGAAAAGCTGGCTGCTGTCCCTGTCCACACACATACCAGAGCCGGGCGAGGGCTGCAGTGGGAGCCGGGAGGCTTCTCCCAGACGCTGGGCTGAGCTGGGCTGCGGAGCCCAGAGTTGCCTGAGGACAGCAAAGTCATTGTAGTGTCTGAGCCAGTGATGGCGAACCTTTTGAGCTCGGCGTGTCAGCGTTTTGAAAAACCCTAACTTAACTGTGGTGCCGTGTCACATATAGAAATTTTTTGATATTTGCAACCATAGTAAACAAAGACTTATATTTTTAATATTTATTTTATATATTTAAATGCCATTTAACAAAGAAAAATCAACCAAAAAAATGAGTTCGCGTGTCACCTCTGACACGCGTGTCATAGGTTCGCCATCACTGGACTGAGCTGAGTGTCTTGTCCTCCCCTGGAGATGTTGGCGCCTTCAGCCAGAGCTAGAGCCTCCCCCACAGTCTCTGGGGATGGGAGTTGGCAGGTTGTGAGGAGCAGAATGGAGAGGTGCCGGTCGTACATAGGTGTTGTATGTGCAGGTAATGGTCCAGGGGCCCATGGGTGACCGCTTTCTCCCTTCGCATTCATGACACCTGCTTTCTGGGCTGTGTCTAGACCAGCCGTGGGCAAACTACGGCCCGTAGGCCGAATCCGGCCCCTTTGAAATGAATAAAACTATTGAAAAAAAGACCGTACCCTTTTATGTAATGATGTTTACTTTGAATTTATATTAGTTCACACAAACACTCCATCCATGCTTTTGTTCTGGTCCTCTGGTCCAGTTTAAGAACCCACTGTGGCCCTCGAGTCAAAAAGTTTGCCCACCCCTGGTCTAGACCTAGGACCAAACCACTTTGATTCTTCCAAGCAAAATGGTAGTGGTTTTCCATGATAATTTTTTTGGGCATTTCTTTAATCAACAAATTAATTATTTTGTATTGAGATATAATTGACCTATAACAGCGTGCAAGTTTAAGGTGTGCAAAGTGTTTTTTGATATGTGTAAAGTGTTTTTTTGAAATGTGCTCGTCAGTGTAGTGTTAGCTAACACCTGTCACACCACAGGATTGTCATTTCTTTTTGTGGTAGCAAGATTTAAGATCCATGTTCACTATCAAAGCACTGCCATAGACACCTTGATTTTGTCCTCTCCCTCACTCTGTCTGAAACCACAGATGTGGAATGCTACAGCTTGAAGATGGTGAACCTTGGGGGTTTCCGGCCTGTGGAGGTGCGGCCCAGTGTGACTAGGCCACTCCTCTTTTATCTGGTACAAGAAGTTGCTTGAAAAAAAAGTGACTAGCCTGGCCGGTGTGGCTAAGTGGTTAAGTGTCAACCTATGAACCAGGAGGTTACAGTTTGATTCCCAGTCAGGGCACATGCCCAGGTTGCGGGCTTGATCCCCATTGGGGGGCATGCAGGAGGCAGCCGATCAATGATTCTTTCTCATCACTGATGTTTCTGTCTCTTCCTCTCTGAAATCAATAAAAAAATTTTTTTAAAAGTGACTATAACATTTGAAAACCATTGATCTCAGTAATATTAATAACTAGAGGCCCAGTGCACAGATTCATGCACCGGTGGGGCCCCTCGGCCTGGCCTGAGCCCTCTTTCAATCCAGGACCCCTCGGGGGATGTTGGAGAGCCTGTTTCAGCCTGATCCCTGCAGGCCAGGTCAAGGGACCTACCAGTGCATGAATTTTTTTCTTGTTATGAGAACTTTTAAGTTCTACTCTCCTAGCAACTTTCAAATATACAATGCAGTATCATTACCTATAGTCACCGTGCTGTGCATTACACCCACAGAAGTTATTACTCTTATAACTGCAAGTTTGTATCCTTTGACCGCCTTTACCCATTTCCCCCATCTCCTGCCCCTGCAACTACCTATCTGTTCTCTGTTTTTATGAGTTTGTTGTTTTACGGGTTCTACATGTAAGTGAGGCCATACAGTGTTTGTCTTTCTCTTCTCACTTATTTCTCTTAGCATAATGTCCTCCAGGTTCATTCTGGTTGTTATTAATGCAAAATTTCCTTCTTTTTTTATGACTAAATAAAACTCCAGTGTATGTGTATATGTGTGTATATATTGCTAGACACTTAGGTTGCTTCATTATATTGGCTATTATAAATAATGCTGCAACAAACATGGGGGTGTAGGTGTCTCTTCAGGACAGTGATTTTGATTCCTTTGAATATACAGTATACCCAGAAGTGGAATTGCTGGATCATATGATAGTTCTATTTTTAATTTTTTGAAGGACCTCCGTACTGTTTTCCATAGTGGATGCAGAACCCAGCAGTGCCCAAGGGTTCCCTTTCTCCTCATTCGTGCCAACACTTACCTCTTGTCATTTTGATGATAGTCATTCCAACAGATGTGAGGTGATACCTCATGTGGCTTTGATTTGCATTTCCCTGATGATGATTGATGTTGGACATCTTTTCATGTACCTGTTGGCCATGGGTACATCTTCCTCAGAAAAAGTCTATTCAGCTTCTCTGCCCATTCTTTAAACCAGATTGTTTGTATTTTTGCTATTGGGTCATATGAGTTCTTCCTATATTTTGGATATTAATTCCTTTCAGATATGAATTGCAAAACTTTTCTCCCATTCTGTATGTGGCCTTTTCATTTTATTGCCTTTGCTGTGCAGTTTACTTCGTGTTTAAACCTGCAAGGATTGCCCAGAGGACCTAGCATGTGCCTGGGTGCCCTGTAGGTGCCCACTGAACATGTGTCGATTGGTGTTGTAGCTGAGAAATCTCTCAGTTCCCTGCACTTTCGCCAGAACCCCAGTGAGTGAAGAAGGAGCTGAGAGGGGAAGATGGACCTGACTTGCCCGTCCCTGGGGAAACCCGGACCAGAAATCACAGTCTGGGCCCCAGCCTTGGACTCTGTCATCTGCAGGCTCAAATCATCAAACTGCCACCCACTGCATACCAAGCCGGGGTGCAGACGAGCTTCCTATTGGGCTGGGAACAAATGTGCTTGTAACTAATTAAATTTTATAAGATGATAAGCCAGGCTGTCTCTCCCACCACTGCAGCGTGGCAGCCAGAGGCAAATGTCTACATTCTCAAGGAGTCTTGGGAAACCCTGGTCTGGTGCACTGTTTTGTTTTTTTCTTTTTTCTTTCTCTCTCCATGGTTTTCTTGTTCTTGCTGAAATTCTATGCACCCAAATGGCAAGCACTGTCTTTTGTAACAGATCACAGTAATACCACGACGGTGGAACTTTCCAGACCTATTGATTATTTAAAGAATACTTTAGGGGGGAAGTGCTACTCAAGACAACAGTTCTCAAGCTCATATTCACCTCTGCACCCCCACTGCGCCTGCGTGCATGTCTCTCATCAGCACCGACCATTTTCCAGCTCAGTCACGTCTACCATTTACTGAGTTCTGACCTTTTCTTCATTCAATTTTCACAGCAGTTTTGTTCAGGAGATACTATAACAGAGTCCATGTTACATCTGGCCAACTGACTCCCCCAGTTAAGCATGTGCACAGAACTGTATCTCGTCCCAGCTGCAATTTAACTTTGCGATATTGTCATTAAGCCTATTGAACTATAGACTGTAAGCCCCATGAAGGCAGGGATTATGCTAGTTCTGCTCACCATTGTATCCCTAGAACCTTCTGGCACTTGGTAAGGGCTCTGCCAGCAAGGTAGTCAGGCAGTAGGGCTCTGGATCAAGATCCCAGCAGGAAACAGGTGGCACATTCTAAGGAGGAATTGGAAGGATTCTAATGAAGGGACTATCTATCAAGGAGTGAAAGGGTTAAGGGACTAGCATTGGACTAGCCCTGGTAGGAGGAGGTTACTACTTGTTGTAGTTTACAATTTGTCCCCCCAAGAAGATATTTTGAGGTCCTAACCTCCAGTTCCCATGAATGTGACTTTTTTTTTTGAAATAGGGTCTTTGCAGATGAAATCAAGTTGAGATGAGGTCATTAGGGTGGGCCCCCATCTGATATGACTGGTGTCCTTGTAAAAAGAGAAGAGGAGAGAAGAGGGAGGGCGCGTGGCTCTTTAGAAGTCACTATGGTGACAGGGCAGTCGGGAAGCATCTTGGTAACTGGTCCTGGCTCTGGGAAAGCAGTCGCCATTGCTTTCCTGGGGTTTAAGGTAAACCTCTTCACCTTTGGACGTGGTGAAGAAAGGGTTTGGAAGTTGTGGCAAGCACCGGGTCCCACGTTTCCTGCCTTGAGGGTGTGCGCGACGTGGAGCATCAGTTATTTTCCATCTCCCTGTGGGCAGTAGACCTAGCTTTCGGGATGCAACGGAGTGAGCCCTGAATTTGGAGGGAGTCGAGGGACTCTAAGGAGGAGAGAAGATCTAAATTGGTGAATGGTTGAGTAGTCCACATGTGAATAGGGGAGAATGATTGCGAGTTGTTGGTGTTGGTCGTTAGTGTCATGAGTGAAGGGCGGTGGTGGTGGGCTTTTGAAAGTCAGGGAAGGAACGATTTCTCGGTGTCACCTGGTTGACTTTAAGAGAAAATGGACCAGCAAATATTTCCAAAATGGCTTTTGTTTACAACGCACTGTGCAAGGCATAACCAGAATTATTGACAAGTATTCCTGTTCCCAGAGAGCTTAGTTATGCTGGTAGTGAATTTTTAACCTGGAGTCTGTGGATCTGGTGATTGGTGGTGATTGGGCTCCAGAGGAGTTCATAGCCGCTCCCCCTTTCCCAAACTGTACAAAATTCTGTGTTTGTGCGTTTTTCTGGGGAGTTAATTTTTCCAGAACTTTGATCTGATGCTCAAACATGGTCTTAATCCCCCAATAAGTATTTATTCAGCA